ATTGAAAAAGAGGTTCATTTGGCTGGACAGCCTCAAAATTAGGGTAGCTTTCATAAAACGAAAAATGAAGTAGGTAACTGAGACATGCTTTATAATTACTACAACAACTAGGGAAGAGCGTAAGGCAAACCTAAGCAAACTGCAAATAATTTTTTTTATATTATTTATAGTCCATTTATTTTATATATTTATAGTCCATCTGATGGTAAGTGGATGCCGTGGCTCATAGACATCTACATTTATCCTCGATTAAGTGTCCAAATGCAGATGCGTTGTCACCCCTGAGGCCTAAGATGGAATGCCTCGTTTCCAGTAAAAATGGTCTCCGGTTCTCTACACTCACCATATGAAACAAAGCAGCATTAAGCTGCTATTTTACGCTGGTACTCTGTGAGAGCGTGATCCTTCCTCGGTCGAGCCGACCCATTCGTGCTTCAACCATAATATATCTGAAGCGTTACGGAAAAAAAAGTTTTGATAAATCGCCATACTTACGCTATTTGGGCGATAATTTGGGCCAATTAAGAGTATATCGCGTCCTAGCGTAACGCCGAATTTCGCTTGTATTTTGCACTACAAACAACACTACATATTATGCACGTTATGCAAACGGAATGTGGAGAATAGGCGATGCGACAAGGAAAATTAAGCAACTTCTCATCATTACCATGTGTCGGTAAAATAGGATCTCTAAATTCTAGTCTAGTATTCTGTTTCAAAATATCGTGATTGTTGAGAAATAACACGTCATCTAAGGACTAGATTAAGATCCAAAGATAAAGAATAAATTATCAGGATGGGCTATATGCTTGGGCAGAGAGCAAACATCTTTAATTGCTATTCCACGTCTCACAACGTGAGGGAGTGCTCTACTCTCGATAGTGACTCAATTTCGCTACATAAAATCGATCTTTTACTTATAGTTACACATCAAATCAATATTATTATTACCGTTACAATAACTACAGACATAGAATTTTAAGATTAGTTTATTTTCTAATTGATTCACTTTAGATTACACAACAAAAAATTTAATTGAAAAAATGTATGGACTGCCGTCCTTTGGTCTGCGCGTCGGTGAGTCTTCTCTCTTAATAGAAATGTGAGCAATAGATTGAGATATATAGTATTAAATAAGATTCCATACATTCTATGGAGGACCCTGGAGGAGGAGGAGGATTATTTATATTTGTTATTGAACTCAACACCGTTTAAAAGTTACTAACGTTGGGTTTTCATCAAAACTTAAAACCGTCATGAGGCGTGCACTTTTGGGTTTTCCAAAAAACTATTTGAAAATACTAAAAACTAAATTCACACGAGAGATTTTGTCACGTATATAACGCCGTGTAATTTCCGCCAATGTGGGACACAGTAATCAAATACGCCAAAATGTAGAATTAGGAACTGAATTTCTTCAAACGTCGACTAAATTTCGGTGGATGTATCGCTAAACTTACACGTAGGTAACAGAATCTAATAAGTACCGTTTTCTTCTCGAAATATCCCTGTATGGAAATTGTTTTAAAGTGACGTGGAAGATATTATTTTCTATGTTTTTTGCGTCAATTGACATTCAAAATTTACCTATACTTGTAAATATTCACATTTTATTATATGGTAGAGCCACGCTGTAGCTATATTATGGTTGTGATTTTATTCCAATACCAGCTTATTCCGTATGGTGAGTGTAGAGAAGCGGAGACCTTTTTAACTGGAAACGAGGCATTCCATGTTAGTCCTCAGGGATGAGACAACACATATTCATATCTACATTATTCTAATAAATAAAAACTGTCAGTCGCAGGACTGCACGTCAAAAGAGAAAATTTTTAACTTCACAAACTTATAAATATTATTTTTGGGTTGTTAAGAAATATATTTATATACAGGACTGTATAAGTTTTAATAAAGATTATTATTATTATTATTTAGGAAGCATTTTATTATAAATTTATTTTTATCAACATAGTAATCTAGTAATAAAATTTTCATTTATTGCGCTGTTTTACATGAAAAATAATTATTATTACATTACACAATAAAAATATAAATACATATCAATTTTATAAAAATTAATCAATTGCATTTTCAACATTACTTTTATAAATTTTATGTATCTGAGCGTGACGAACACGCGAGTTCAGTGCTTTTTCCCCATCCCAAAAGTGCACAACGTGTCTAAAGAAGTTTTCATTTCAACAACTTAACTTTTATTTAACACAGAACATTATTTTTAGAACACTTTAAAGAAAAGTTTTCAGCTATAGTATAAAAAAGTGTTTCCTTGGTAAGGAAGGAATTTAGTTAAATAGTAACACTAGTCAGACTCGGCCACAGCGGGTTTCGTGCCGGAAAAGTTGTTTAAAGTTTGTTAGTGAATCAACTTAGTTTCTCGTCTCAGCGACATAATTTCTTCTGTTTTCTACGAAGTTATGCTTGTTGTCTCGCAGACTTATTAAAGGTAGTAAGTAGTTATTTCTTTTCTTTATTTCATATCCTATCATATTATATATTCTGTAACCGCATACCTTATCAATTCGTCACTCGACGCAGTCATACAGAGTAACATAGAGGAGATATAAAGATATAAAGCAAAGATTTTAGCTAAGCGTAAGCTGATTTTTCATACTAGTATGAGTGTTATAGTAACCCACAATCCATCTGATGGTGAGTGGATGACATCTACTTCTCCAATAAAATGTCAAACTCATACATGACTATTAAATGCAACGCAACACCCGATTCAATTTCGGCATTATGCTACTATTTTGCTTTAGTATTTTGTGATATTGTGATTGTTTCGCAGCCGAGTCTATCCATTCTACACAAATTTGTCGGCCATTGCCTAATAGAAATTAAAACAATGATTTTCGAATCGTATGATCGAATCGAATGATTCCATTAAATGAAGTATCTCAGGAATGTTCAGTCTCAGGTCAGCAGTGGGCTCGTGAAGGCAAGGGTTAAGATATTGATAATAAGACGGACAAACAAAACAATCAAAAAACCTATATACATCCCACTGCTGGGCGCAGGCCTCCTCTCATTTCTGAGTGGGTTTCAGGGCAAGGAAGTGTCCGCCGCGCTGCTCCAATGCGTGTTGGCGAACTTCACATGTATTCGAAATATATTTTTCTTATTTCTCAGATATGCAGGTTGTGTGATGACACGATGTTTTCCTTCACCGCCGAGCACGTAGTAAATCAGCACTTAAAATTGCAATTAACAATTCATTGGTGCCGGCGGGAATCGAACCCGGAAAATTACTGTGGTAGCTTAGCCCCTGAGCTACCACGGCGCGGCTGCTATTAATAATATTACGATTTTAATAATAAGCTTTGTGAGATTGAAAGACTATAGTAATATTTTATTCTGGCATTCTACCTAATCTGAAATTTGTTAGGGCGAACTAATCAAATGAAACCTTAATGCTAATTGCTGAATACAACGGTTTAGTATTGTGAGTCCGCAAAAATATGTCAGGGTTTAAGTTGTTAGCGTATTATATACTGTTTTACAACATTTGACTAATATCACGTGTACACGAAACAAAAAAGTAACAAAAACTAATACTTAAACGCCATAATGCTATGTATTATGTGTATCTTATGAAAATTAAAGTACATTACTATTTTTTTTTAATAAAATTGGTTTTATATGTGCTAAACAAAAAAAGAAGAGAGAAAAAGAAAAGAATACTTCATATATGAATTTAAAAAAAAATTATAAATAGGTTTAACTGAACAAATGCTCTAAAAGAAAGCTTTTGTAACTGCCACTGCAATATGCTGCTCGAAAGCATTCTGGAGTTTGAACTACTACAATTACTACAATTGGAGTGACAAGCGAGCGTACACTTAACCTGATGGTAAGCTTACTCAAACATTAAGATGATATATGCCTGACAGCAATTATACTAACTCTCTTAGGCTTAAAATCGAAGCACAGGAAAAGCTGCACTTGGTGACAAAAATAAGAGACTAGTACCAATACTATTCCTTCAAAACCGATTTATGTAAGCCCTTCTAAACAAGTCTTCTGATTTTTACTGATATCTTCAATGTTTCATAATTGTAACACAGAATAAAAATGACGTATGAAATATCGCGAATATGAACTAAAACTTACTACTGAAAAATAACAATAATCAAATGTATTGTTTATGGTATGAAATGAAAAGTTTGTAATGTACTCAAAATATTCAATTAAATATATTCAAAATATTTTATACAGGTCGGAGAGGTTTTTTTTTGGTAATTATTATTAACATAATATTACTTAAACGTGTAGTCGTGCTTTAAGAATATTCGCTAACCCATATCATCCTGCAGGTGTTGTTAGAGTCGATTAGGATAAACTGAACCTGGAGATGGACAGCAGCATATTCCTGATAACATCTTTTTTTTATAGGATAAGGGTGGCAAACCAGCACACAGTCCACCTGATGGTAAGTGGCTGCTGTGGCCCATAGACATCTAGATCTATCCTCGTTTGCGAATCAAAACGCAGATGCGTTGTCACCTGTGAGGACTAAGATGGCATGCCTCTTTTCCAGTAAAAAGGGTCTCCGGTTCTCTACACTCACCATACGAAACACAGCATCATTAAGCTGCTATTTTAAGCTTATATTCTGTGAGAGCGTAGTCCCTTCCACGGTCGAGCCGACCCAATCGTGCTGCAACTATACCGGTAATATAGCTGCAGCATGGCTCTACCACGTAAAAATCTGAATAAAAATAACAAACCGCGGTTGCCAAGCAGCAAATATCCCCCCTATGAGGCTATCTATGGGAAATCGTAATTGTTTTCATTATTTTTATACAATATAGTATAATATATATTGTGCTCTTAACAGAAAATATTATCAGTAATCAATACTTTTCTACTACCCACCAGGTCTGTCATTTGCCTTAATTATAATGTTTTATTTTTTGTTTTGCCTAGTTTCATGCCGTAGCTTTTTCACTCTTATAACTTAAGCTTTTTTTTTATTTCAGGCGCAGCGGGCGACCAATCCACGCTCAAAGTCCACTTGCCCAATGGTGGGTTTAACGTGGTCAGAACCTCTCCGGACGAGGATGTGCGCTCAGTACTTCGGCTCCTCGCGGCCAGGCTTGCCACTGGTGAGCGGGTGTATGCCTCGTGCTACGCGTTGAGAGCTAGAAGGCTCACAACTGGAAAGGTACGTTAATCTTACCTCTTTTTTGAAATTTAAAAATCTTGTGAATTATTTGCTTCTTGAATTTCTTGGAGCTGCGTCGACATTGTACACCAAACCGCTGTTTATTTTAATACTACGGTTATAATTTTACAACTTGTAATTTTCTCTGTCCATCCTTAACGTCAATCCACATATCATATCGTATGTGGATTGACGTTAAGGATGGACACATTAAAGCGCGTTAAGTAACAACTAATTATTTTAGATTTATATATAAACGAAATTCACCGTGTGAACATTATTATTATTGGCTCGCACAGGATTGTTTTGTTGACGCATGATTAGTAAAATTTGTTTATAGCTGTAAGTAAAGTGACAGCCTTGTATATGTCCCACTCCCACTGCTGCGTACAGACCTCCTCTCATTTCTAATAGGGTTTTAGTCATATTTTTTAATTTATTTAACAATTTTATTACACACAAAGGATTATTACAAAATAATAATATACATAATTTGTACAAGTAAATATTTGTATTTTATTATAAACAAGCTGTTCCCCGCAACTTTCGCTGACGCTAATTCTTTTTCAAAAATAAAAGTAGCCTAAGTACTCCTTATAACATCAGCTATCTGCCGGTGAAAATTCCGTCAAAATCGGTCCAGCCGTTTCGGAGATTAGCCGGAACAGACAGACTGACAAAAAATAAAAATATTGTGTTTTTTTATAATTTTCGTACATACTTTTATATTCATTTTGTTAAAAACTGTTATTTTGACATTACAAACAGACACTTCAATTGTATTTATTTCTATAGATTATGTGCTGAGCGTCAAGAAAAGGCCAGTTGTTGAAATGTTATCTGTTTTAAATTGACTGATATCATCGAACATTAATTACTAAATAGTTTTGTGAAAAATATGTTATTTATATTCAGATAATCATCAGTACGTAAACATCTACAGTTTTTGTCAAATAATTTAAAATTAAAAATTTTGTACAATCGACTTCAATATAAATTATTAAGAATATCTCAAAAGCTATTGGTCAGACCTTGATCAAATTTATATGGGACCACATGTGAAGCACCAGCTTTCATATGAAAAAAAAAAATCATCGAAATCGGTCCACCCAGTAAAAAGTTATGGGATAACACACATAAAAAATGTAGTCGGGTTGAGTACCGTCTCCTTTTTGAAGTAGGTAGAAAATCACCATCTGGTTCAAAAAAAAAGAAATAGATAACGTTCCATATTAGGGGTCATAAAACCTTTCTACCATTCCCCATAGTCTACTCTTACAGCACCAACGGGGCTGGATGTGTTCATATATTCTTGCCACTAACTAACACAAGACTCAAAATTCGAGTATTGTTAAAAATCTTATTTTCTACCCACTTCAAAAAAAAGACGGTACACAATTCGACTGTATGTTTTTTTTATGTGTTACCTCTTAACTTTTTTCTGGGTGAACCGATTTCGATGATTCTTCTTTTATTTAAAAGCTGGTGTTCTCATGTGATCCCGTATAAATTTGATCAAGGTCTGGCCAATAGTTTTTGAGTTATTCTTAATAACTTATATTGTAGTCGGTTGTACAAAATTTTAAATAATTATCTGACAGTTCTAAGCTTGGAAACAACACGAAATTAATATTACTGTTTTTGTTCGTAGATTCGATGGATCCATCAGGACACGCCGGTGTCGGAGCTGATAACGCGGTGGCCGGCCAGCGAGTGGCGCCTGGAACTGCGGGTGCGCTACCTGCCCGCCAACCTGCGCGATCTCTGCGATGCGGACCGGGTCACATTCCACTATTACTACGACCAGGTAAGCCCATTTGTCATATGGATGAGATGGCAAACGAGCACACAGTCCACCTGATGGTAAGTGGTTGCTGTGATCCACAGACATCTACATCTATCCTCAATAAAGAATCAAAATGCAGATGCGTCGTCACCCGTGAGGACTAAGAGACCCATACCGTAGACCCGTTTGACTGGAAAAGAGGCATTCCTCTTTTCCAGTCAAATGGGTCTATGGTTCTCTACACTCACCATACGAAACACAGCAGTGTCCAGCTGCCATTTTACGCTGGTATTCTGTGAGAGCGTGGTCCTTCCCCGGTCGAGCCGATCCATTCGTACTACAAGTATACTACTAATATAGCTGCAGCATGGCTCTACCACGTATAATCTCATACATCATACAAAAATCATATCATTATACAAACATCTTTTTCCCTTCTTCTTCATTAGCCTGTTATTTTTTTTTCTTATTTTATTTTTTCTTCTGAGTTGTCCGGAAGAGATTGCTATGTAGCAATAAGACTGCCAATTATTTTCCCCTTAATATTTGTTTTTTTTTTTGTTTTTTTTTTTTAATATTTACTTGGTGTTCAATAAAGGGTATTGTATTGCATTGCAATGTATTGTATAGCCTGTAAAAGTGCTCGGCTGAACGTTGGTCTGTTTCATTTTATCCCTAAAATGGACATTGGCCTATTCCATTTTAGGGATGCTCACCAATCGCCGTGACAGACGTCTCGCGCCTTAGACGATGCTTACCGTCGTTTAGCTGATTAAATATTTATAGGGCCATCTGTCGGAGGCCGCCTCTTATGATCCCCAGGAGATTTTTTTTATTTTATTTATTTATTAGGATCCCAACATGATATTGTACAAAATATTTTCATTAAAATGATTTATTAATAAATTGTTTAGCTAGTACATATCATACTCAAAGGCGAATTTAACATGTTAAATTAAAATAATAAGGAACGCATATTGAAGTTGAGTTGGTATGTAATAATCGATTCTAGTACTCACCCATCCGGTACCGTACCGCGTGATACATCTCCTGCTCAATAAATCCTAAAATAAATAACAATGTGTTAATTTCAGGTGCGACATGACTACCTCAACGCCAATCATCCCATGGTGGACCAGGATTTGGCGATACAAATATGTTGTTTAGAAATAAAGTAAGTAAAACCACAGAATATATAATAGTACAAGAAATCAACCAAACAGCGTTTTGTTTTAAAATTTTACAACTTCAATTATTTATGTAAAGAATAGTCTTTAACGAATATTGAAAACAATACGCAACACATTTTTAGATAATATTAAAATTAACTGATTAGATGATCCCAAGACTAGTAAAATAAAAGAAAACATACAAATTTCAATATAGATCCACTTGGAGTACTTTAATTTCAATTTTATTATAATTAAATTCAAACTCACGCCTACTGCAGACCTACAGAAACAAAATACGGTGATCCATGTTAAAGTAGATCTAACCTAATAAATATAATATAATCTAAAATAGTAATTAAAAGCTAAGGATATCTCCGGCTAACTATGACATTGGGATGTCACCTTGTTGCCCCCGTGACCACGAGTGCTGCAAAGCAACTAAAATTAAACGGGATAAAATATGTAATGTTTTACAATTATATTTCATATATTATGTTTTCTATTACCAGATACTTCTGCAAGGACATGCAGATATCTCTGGACAAGAAGTCGAACATAGAGTACTTGGAGAAGGAGTTCGGTCTGCACAAGTTCCTACCTAAATCAGTAATCGAAGCGATCAAACCCAAAGTTCTCAAGAAAGCGATACAGCAACAATACAAAAAGGTAATTTGATTAATAGTAACTGCAAAGGTATTCTTACCAATACATTCTTTAGTATCTATTTAATTTATTACTATATAACCTAACCGGCTTTGTTTACTTTGAAACGTTGTATGTGCCTAAAAATTCGAACTGTTCCATTTTTGTATTTCTATCAAATAAACATTGGACTTCCACCAACAGGCAACAATTGCAAGTACAAACTAGTTAATTCAACTTCGGATTGTTTTATTTTATTAATTTTTATATATTATATATGCCTTCAATGGTGGTGTTTCCTTCGGCAAAAAAAACAACATATATTAAACATTATACAAAAATTAAAATTAAAAGAAATGCAACCTGAGGTCTGTCTCTGCCACAAACGCCACTTTAATTTAGCAGTTTTCAGCGGTGATGAACAACAAAGTGAGAAAACACGCATGAATGAAAAATAAAATATATTATACTAGCTCGCCAGGCAGACGTTGTTCTGCCCTTTCCGACGACCTTTCCTATAAAAATCCTTAAATTCGCAATAAAAAATTTTGAGGGTCATTTAACGGGATAAAAACTATCCTATCTCTCAAGTTGGACCAAAATGCACACAGTGTGAAAAATTTCATTGAAATCAGTTCAGTAGTTTAGCGCGCGCATCGCGGACAAACAACGTGACACGTAATTTATATATATATATAATACTTATAATATTTCAAAGATATGTAAAATCCGAATTGTGCCTAGGGGCGTTTTCATCCCGCTCTATTTAACCCAATAATATCACGAGGCTTATAACCCGTTGTGGTTTATTAAGGTGACGGCTTCATATATTATAGGGTTTTAACGCTCCCTTCTTCGCTGCATACATATTTGTCCAGCACATTCATTTGGTATACAAAAAGTAATACTTTAAACGTTATTGCTTATTATCAGGAAATAAAACATCTAACTTAAAATTTAGCCGATAAAGAATCCAATTCAATAACATGCTCTCCATATTATCCAAAATTATTATATGATTGTTTCATGTATGCGCATATTTTTTCGGAGCATATACTATTTCAAGAAGTATGAATTCACGCGCGTCAAATTACGATACCTTTGTCCAATTTGGCCTTAAGCTGTAACTTTACTTTTGCATTTTGTTATCTTTTGATTACTCATATCGAATACCCTCACTTCTGTCTTGAAAAATTAAACAATATTTATTTTATTGCAGGTGGCAAATATAAGCGACGTCGAATGCATGCTCCGCTACGTGGAAACGATGCACACGCATTACGGGTACGATCGTGAAACGTTCACGGCGGCGCTCGGCGGCGGCTGGGCCATACCAGTTGAGCTGGCTATTGGGCCCGATATAGGTGACTACTTATTTTGTTCTTTGCTTGAATTTATGCAGTTTAAATTGATGAGGATGAATTCGATTTATATGAAAATATTTCAATAGCCGTGCGGTAAAGCAGAAAACACAAGATAGTATCTACCAGGAGAACATGTATACAGAAAAATCCCTTCCATTCCGTCTAGTTAAAAATTCAAATCGAATTAGCTGTAGGCCATACCTATTGGAAAGGGAATATAAAATTCACGTCCTCTATCTTAAATCTTTAAGAACTCTATGTTTTTCTCTGTGTTTAGAATAGTTGTCGTTTGTTTTTTCCAAGGCTTTCCCAAGGAATACCACAAAACACGATCCTGAGTTACCTGCATCCATCGACTTCACGTATATTGCACGCATATATTTATTTTTATTTACTATATTTGGTTTGAATTAGTGTACTTGTAGACGGAGCAATAAGAAAAGATAAAATGCCATACTTTACTGCTTACAGATATATCGTATGTCTCACACAAAGCCGGCGAGCCGCCAACGTACACGAAAATTGCCTCGTTCAGCGACATTGTCGCGTTGCAGACGCTCAAATCTAACTGCACGCAGCAGTCGCAGACACAGGTCAGTTCTTCTTCTTCCACTCCACTTTCCATAACTTCTCTGTCCACTTTTTTTATAGTAGAATATATTTTCCATATTCGCCACCCGCTGCAGACGTGACGTTCGCAGTAACAGAAGTATCGCGATTATAAAGCTGCCCTTTAACGGTCTGTGTATAAGATGTTTTAACCTAGGAGGGCGGGCGAACAATGCCTGTAGTTGTGATGTGTATAGACACAGTAGTGTTTATACATACATACAGTGTATCAACTAAGCGCACCAAGCGCGCGCGACAGCCGTTCCAGTGTTTGACCGTTCAACGTGGATGTCGGTCGTATACGAACAGCTGCCGCTTTCATAGTTCCATGCATCTTCTCTTGAGCGCTTTATTATGATAAAAACAACTTTTGATATTCCTAGCAGTTATTTTGAACCATATAACTTTATCAATTTACGGCAACTCTGGTTATCCATAGCTCGGAATGCAATGAACACAATGATGATGAAAACAACCGTCCCAACTGGCGCGCGCGCCATAACTTAACTACTTTGATACGCGGTAAAAAACCAACACCAGATGGAACGGTCCGCTCGACATTTGAGCGTTCCAACGAACAATTTGGCGCGCGTTCCAAGGCCGCATACATTTCGCGCGGCTAGAACGCGCGCCAATGTTCAACCTCTTGGAGCGCAAAATCGGTACGCGGCTTTAGCAAACTCATCTATATTGAATACAATGGTTTCTTGGTTTTCACATTGTCATTCTTACTTCTAGAAAAAGCGCAATCACTCAGCCTGGTAATGTTATTCCCCATTACGACTACTATTCATCGGTTGTCAGAATATTATCTCCTATAATTAGCGTCTAGTTTATGTATCTAATTTGTGCGGAAACGCAAGTTATTATTGATTTTTGTGGAAACATTTCTGTATCATTTTTAGGGTTCCGTGACCCTATTACTGAGTCTCCACTGTCCGTCCGTCCGTCTATCAGCGGGCTGTATCTCATGATCCGTAATAGATAGACAGTTGAAATTTGTATTTCTATTGCCGCTATAATGACAAAATAATATTATAATCTTTATATATAAAAATTACTTGTCACATTGTTTGTCCGCGTTGAACTCCTAAACTACTGAAATGATTTCAATGAAATTTTGCACACTGTGTGCAGTTTGGTCCATCTTGAGAGATAGGATAGTTTTTATCCCGATAAATGACCCTCAATTTTTTTTATTGCTAATTTCAGGAGTTTTTTTTTTAGTGAAGCAAATGTTCGGAGATAGTTAATACTTAATTTTAGTAAACAATAATCAGAGATTTTTAAGTAAGGCTGTTTTGTCTAAAATAAATAATTTAAAAAAATATATCTAGCTCGTTTTCATTTTAATTATGTGCCTTACATCTATTATAGGTATGCATATATACAAACATCACATAATGTTTATGAGATTTTTCTATATACCTAACATAATAACTGCTGTTAATGTGTCTTAAATATAAATAAATAACATTAATGACATTTCCAGAGTGGATCTTGCGGAAAAGCAGCGCTCCAGTTGCGAGTGAAAGGTGCCACGGAAACGCTCACGATCACTTGCAGCAGTGTGGAGGTAAATTTACTTAAAAAGTTGTAATTTATCTAATGTTAACGCTTTTAATGAGCGGAATTTATGCAATGCAATGAATTAATGACTTGTTGCATTCCCTCCCAGCCTACTGTATAATAGAAAGAGAAGTGTTGGCAGCTTTGAAAATAAATTTATTATTTATTACATTATCATTGAACGAATATACTTTACATTTACCCACATACATACATTCATACATAAATAACACATTAATACACACTATTGGCCCTTATCTAAAAAAAATATTGCGATATCTTCATTTAATATAAAGTTATTAAAGTTTTAAGAAACAACGATTTTATACGGGGTTTTTCACACGGTGAACTATAGGTCGCTTGCTCTCGCGGTATCGACCCAGACAATTTATATATTTTAGCTACAAACGGATTAACGAATAATTTATAAAGAAATTTTGTAAGCTAAGTATATTTTTTGCTTGCGATCTTTTTGAATTTTTTTCCTTCGCACATACGAAAACTTTGCTAATATATCAAGCAACGCGGACGAAGTCACGGGTCTCATACCCGTGACTTCGTCCGCGTGTGATAAATAAGCAATTAAAATTTCTTACGGCAATTTCATTGCTGGCAAAGGAACGTGTGTACTCAATGCACTGGATACAGTACACTACGCTAGGGATAAAATGTTGAACCTTTATTTTCAGGCTGCAGAAAGCTTAGCGGACTTGGTGGACGGCTATTGCAGACTAGTGACAGACTCGCAAACTTCGCTTTGGAACAGAACTAGTAAGCCCTAATATATTTTTACGTGGCAGGGCCATGCTGCAGCTATATTACAGGTATAGTTGTAGCACGAATGGATCGGCTCGATAGGGGAAGGACTACGCTCTGACTGAATACCAGCATAAAATATCTGCTTAAAGCTGCTGTGTTTCGTATGGTCAGTGTAGAGAACTGGAGACCCTTTTCACTGAAAACGAAGCATTCCATCTTAGTGCTCACGGATGACAACGCATCTGCAATTTGATTCGTTATCGAGGATGTATGTAGATGTCTATGTAAGCCATCTCAGAGGAATACCACAAAGAACGGTCATGAGCCACCTACACCCGTCGACTTCCTGCATCTCTTAGGAAATCGTCACTCCATCTAGTGGGGCGCCGCGCTACACACCGCATACCGGTACGAGGTTGCCACTCAAGAACCTTTCTTCCTCATTGGTTGTCGGTTCTATGAGTTATATGGCAGGCCCATTTGCGGATATCCTCATTATATAAAAGAATAAAAAAAGGCTACGGGTTATTTTTTAAATATACGTAATTAAAAATAAGTTTTATTTTAAAGTAGTAGTTATAATCGAATTAATAGAATATGTCTATTATGACTTCATATTTAAATTAATTATTAATTTTTTTCAAGCAACCGTATGGAAACAACTGAATTGTCAGTGTAAAAGTAAGTACCTAAACTATCAAAATACGTTGTCTTCAGTAATACGAGTTGGGGATGCTCATGACGTGATTTAATTTCAACTAGAACCAACATTTGTGCAAATACATAAAATTATTGACTGTCGTTGGTGTGTTTTATTAGTGCTAATGTCTCTAATTTTCATTGTAGCCTGTCAAAAGTACACTACTGAAATAGGCTGCGCCTGAGGTGATCTCTGTGAGACAATTTTTTCCGTAGATTCTTTTTTTTGCATACTGCTAAATCCTATTACATTATATTTACTATCCTGTTATATTTCCCTCTATCACCTCTTACGACACCCGCGGGATGATATGGGGTAGTGGATTCTCTTATGTTGACAGTATACGGCACGGCGTATCTCCAATTTTTAGTAAACGTACCGTTTGCTACTGGTGTAACAGCTAAGTCTCAAACTCGAAGAGACGACCGTATATAAAATTATGTCTTTTGTTACTTACGCTTCTGACTTTGCTAATAGACTTCCTGTATTCTGTCTTGGGTGGACTGGTTTTATTTCAGAAGCAGAAAATTGCTTTCGACTATTATGACTTCCTCTGTTTCACAAGCCCGTAGCAGTTCCGTCATTGTTAGCATATTGCCGTATCAGACTTTTTGGTCCTTCGACGACGTTGTTCTTTGCCACCAGTCAGGATAGTTCGGGTCTCGCGAATACGTGATAGTTATTCCGCCATTCAAAGGCTACGAGATAATATCATACTTAGTTAATACTATAATTTAATGGGTTTTTTTTTCTAGCGGAAATGAGCAGCAGTTCTTCAGAAGGCAAGACAAGTTCTTGGGAGGCGAACACAGCTACAATACTATCGGAGGACTACGCGGAAATTGTTGACGATGACGCTGATTACTCCACTCCCGCAGGTGAGTCTTACCTCGATAGTAATAAGAGTTAATTTAGTTTGACAATTGCATATATAATGAAACCTTTGAAAAATATTTACAATATATATTTAATTTTCAACTGATATGACAATCTATCGAAATCCACTGTTGAATTTTTGTTTTAAAGAAGATAATATATTGGGCCAATTTTACATTAATAGAAAAATAAATTGTTAAATTTGCGTTGTTTCTATTTCTTCCACCATTTTAAGGTTATGCATATGAAATTATGAGAAATGATTAGTTGTACTTTTAGTTCAATAGTTATTTTATCTTATTATCACACGTCGTTATTGCTTTTTTTATAGTTATTTTTTTGCTGTATCTTGCGAGCAATTTACATATATAAATATTACGTGGACAAACATCCAGTCCGTATTTGTAGGCCTTACAGCTGTACACCAATAATCATAGCTGACTTGTTTCTGTTATAGTGCGCGACTACGAACTGGTTCGTAATCAAATCGAGCTCACTGGTATCATAGGAGAGGGGCAGTTTGGTGACGTTCATAAAGGTGAGATTACCGAAGACATTTTACTAACAATATTTGTTGTGTTTGTGTCTGTAGTGAAAGAATCTCCACCACAAATAGAAATTTAGTAACATAAAATTTTGTAAAATACTTCTATTAAGTACCTTAGTCTTATGATTTGCTAAAGACACACTAAATGACCATAGGTCTAAAAATCTCTCAAAAGAGGCATAATTATCAGAATGGAAAATTTTTACTATCTCGATCAAATCTAATTATTAACGTGAAAGCAATGAACATTAAATGAACATTAGATGAAGTTATTTGTAACTAGTCTCTAATATGAAATATATAGGTTTCTCCCAGGTGTGTCTACCGCACTCTGTTTAATCTGTAATACTTGAAAATATGCGTTAGAACCTTTTTTGTCGTGCCAGGTACATGTCGCGTGACGTCAGCCAACCACCCGTCGCTTCGACGACAGCTAGCTCTACAGAAACAAGAAGGTCGAAGTGTGGGCGGTGAGTTCGTATTACATGTCGCCGTGAAAACTTGCAAGATGGACGCCGACTTGGATACGGCGGAAAAGTTTTTGGAAGAGGCTTGTAAGTAAAATTTTTTGGAGGTTATTTTTATAGGAGAGGGGGAAAACGAGCATACGGCTCACCTGATGGTAAGTGACTACCACCGCCTATGAACAACTGCAACACCAAGAGAATTGCAGGTGCGTTGCCGGCCTTTTAAAAAGGAGTAAGCTCTTTTCTTGAAGGTGCCTAAATCGTATCGGTCCGGAATAATCGCTGGTGATAAATTATTCCACAGAGAGGTCGTAGGCGGAAGAAAACTCGTAGTAAAACGTTCAGTGGTGGACCGCCAAGCATTCAGATGGTGTGAGTCGTATCGGCAGTTTTGACTCAATGTGCGTTCGTGAAATTTGGCGGCTGGGATTAATCCGAACAATTCCTCAGAGCACTCCCCGTAGTAAATGCGAAAGAAAATGCAAAGGGATGCAACATCCCTACGCAGTGCCAGTGAATAGAGCCGATCGGATCGGACTCGGTCGATTCGAGCCGCTCTGCGCTGGATGCGGTCAAGTGGAAGGAGCTGGCACTGGGGAGCCGCTGCCCAGAGATGGGAACAGTATTCCATGTGAGGCAGAAATTGCGTCCTTTTTTTTTATAGAAGAGGTGGCAAACGAGCATGCGGCTCACCTGATGGTAAGTGACTACCGCCGCTCATGAACAACTGCAACACCAGGGGAATTGCAGATGCGTTGCCGGCCTTTTAGAAAGTAAACTTTCAAGCGATGTGCCTGCTTGAAATACTGTCCCGCTCTGCCGAGCACGCCAAGCTTTTTAGAGGCCAATTTGGCCTTCTCTTCCAAGTGACCACGAAACTGCACGTCACTCGATATGTCGATGCCGAGGATTCCGATACTGACTGAGGCAACAAGGGAAGTGCCTTGAAACTGAGGAGATACGACAAAGGAGTTCTTTTTAGCGGTAAACACAGCAGTTCAGCAGAATGTCCAACAGAAAAAGGTGCATGATCCTCCACATCTGAAATCCGCGTAGACGTAGTGACCAGTTATGTCAGACCATATGCCAAGGCAAAATCATGAACAGATCTCCACACATGATCGGTTGAACGTGAATCATGCCATGCGTGGTGGGCGTTAAATCACTAAGGATCACGATCTCTGCAGATGGGACCTGTTGTAGCAAGGAATCTGGACATTTGGACGTGGTCGATGAGTCGGTCTGTGTCGGCATTACCACTATGGGACCTATAGCGGCACACGTAGTCGCGCGGATGGTCGTCGTTGTCTACGCGTAGCCAAAGGATGGACAGGTCCGAACCTTCAAGTCTGCCCAGGCGTCGAGAACAAATGTCCTCTCTGACGTATACTCAAACTCCAGCCGGAGGCACAAACGAGTATTCCAATTTGTACCCCGGGAAAGTTTGAGGAGAAGGATAGTTTTGTAAGAGATACGAAGTATCAGCCGGAGAAGACACTTGCGTTTCGGTCAGAAAGAGCAAGGCCGGCTTTGCCATTTCAAGAAAGTAGTGGACGGCGTTTAGGTTCGAGTAAAGTCCACCGATGTTGCAGAAATTCATGGATAGCGTGGCAGGTGTTGCCTTGGTCTTGTTGCTCAGTTTGCCCCGAGCAGTTATTGTTTTGAGCGGAATTTTGCCATTTAGTTTCTACTCTAAATTTAATCATAATACTTTAATTTAGCAATTTTTTAATTATTGTTCGTTTCTATTTATTATTTTATAGTAATTTTTCTAAATATTCTTAACAGATGTTTAAATTCATACGATGTATTTTTTATCTCTATAAATTAATTTAAATTAAAAAATACTATCAAATACATTCTCTGCCAAAATTCTTTCTTACACATACAAACAGTACCCGAATGGACAGTAAAAAAAAATTATTATTATTTTGTTTCAGACATCATGCAACAGTTTTCACATCCGCACATTATTGGCCTGGTGGGGGTGTGTAGCTCCCCTCCTATCTGGATCGTCATGGAGCTCGCCACACTAGGGGAGATGCGTGCATACCTACAACAAAATGCGCATAGGTAAAATTAAAATAAAACTATGGCCTATATGTATAGCACAAGCTTCACTATAATTTCTGAGAAGGTTATTTATTTTAATTTGAAGAGAGTTACAATGACTAAGATAAATAATACTTCATTGCTTCACAGGTCACTTAATTTTTTTTTAAATTATGGTAACAAACACACACAGTCCACCAGATGGTAAATGGTTGCTGTGGCCCACAGACATCAACATCTATCCTCGATTATAAAACAAAATGCAGACGTCACCCGTGAGGACTAAGATTGAATGCCTCGTTTCCAGTAAAAAGAGTCTCTGGTTCTCTACACTCACCATACGAAACACAGCAGAATTAAGCTGCTATTTTACACGGAGAGCGTGGTCCTCCCTCGGTCGAGCCGACCCATTCATGCTTTAATTATAACAGTGATATAGCTGCAGCATGGCTCTACCATGTAAAAAAGTTAACGCTAATACCAACCGAAAGCCAATTAAAGGTCCTCACTGATAGAAACAAAAGTGAAATTACGACACAACAGTGATGAACGCCATTCAACACTAAGTATCTAATACTAACAGTAGGTACTAATACCAATAAGGACTCAAGTGATATATAGTAAATGCAAACATAAGGAATATATTACAAATATAAGTAATATTAAAGTTCAGTTTAGTACCAAACACATCAATATCTAATTAAAACTACTACAAAGTTTAGGATGCTTTTGGATGACGTCACACTCGTATTAAACAAATCGAACTCATCATACTCTTTATGACTTGTAGCGGCAAACGAGAGACTTGAAAGTATGTTATGTGGTAGATAAAAGCTTAGGACATTTGCTGGCACTTCAAGATATTTTTTCCAAAAATACATGACATCAGCAATCTCATATCGCTTAGCTGCCCCATCAGTTCTCGGTTCTTCAAACTATATGGCAAGTCCTTTGCTATTGTTTTGTATTGTAACACAAATATTAAAAATGGAAAATAATTTGGACATTCTTTTTTTGTACATTAATGTTCTCTAGATCAAAGACCGGAAAAGTTCCAATAAGTACCCTTAGACCTTATAGGATATATAGATTACTAAACCCTCACTTTAGCGTAACCCATGCTACTCAGTTTCCTACTTTTACTTCATTTTAGCGATGACAGCAAAACAATAGAGACGTCATTAAGATACCGTGCACCTATATGCTTCTATGTCTATTCTATGTATATTCTTCTATATCTATCTGTTCGGCGAGATTCATAAAAATTATGGAAACATCCCGCAATAGCGACTTTCGCTTTAGTATAGTTCTAAAGTTAATAAAGTTCACTGCTGAACATAGACCTCTTCCATAGATTGCTTATAGAGCGAGGGGGGGATATTTGCCATAGTCGCCTCAGTTGGCAAGCGACGATCGGTATCTAAGAATCGGAAAAAACTAGGAATCGCGGCGAAAAAAATTTTTTTTTAGGAGTAGTCGTGTGACGGCGCTGTCGTGCTACAAACGTAAACGAATTGAAGTCTAAAACACGCTTTCGAAGTTTCCAAACTACTCCGACATATTTATATAGAACAAGCTACGTACTATCACCAGGAGCGTTGACCGCTCCCCGGGCTGAACACCTTGTCCGTTGAGCGACCTCCCCTTTTCCTTCGACGGCTAAAGTAGTAACTATGTTATTTGGAAACGTTTTTCAATGCACCTGCTCGTCACTAATTCTTGTGAATTATTGCAAACTATGTCGGTTATATTAGTTTAAAAAAATAGTAGATTTCGCGTACAATTATAATGACAAAATATTTTTATTTACAGGTTGGAGACATGTACATTAGTTCTGTACATCTACCAGCTCTCGACCGCGCTCAGTTACTTGGAGAGTAAAAAGTTCGTTCACAGAGACATCGCCGCTCGGAACGTGCTCGTATCCACTGCGACTTGTGTTAAGGTAAGCAGTCCCAGTTACTTTATTAATATTAATATATTTGTTAAAACAACATAGAAATATTTTGACAATAATGCTAAATTATGGATAATCATCTTTATATATGTACTACGTACTAGATTGCGCATTCCGAACATACACTATGTTCAACTGAACTGTACTGCAATCCGTTCAGTGTGTCATTTAGTGTGGTTTCAATCTACTAGTTAGTCTGTGGTTTCAATATTCATGCAGTGTGGAGCGGCGCTAATAATACAAGATTTCAAATTAAAGTTTAAACCTGGACGTAAATAACAATTCAGTAGTCAAGTAAGTAAAATTACTTGTTGTTCAAGTGAATAAATGGGTAATAATACCGTAATATTACAAGAGAAAAAATCATGAAAAAATATATTTCTCTGTATAAACTGACCGCGCAGGCGCAGCGCGCTTAAGGGGCTACTCCATGCGAACGACCTTGAGCATTTGGTGTGCCGCGCCGACTCGCTACAATATAATATCACGTAAGAAATATGTAAGGCGCCACCTACTGTAAGAACGTAGTATTTTTTCAACATCAATAAACTATTTTATGGAAATACACACAGCGTACAACGATAAATGTATCTCAAATTTTTTATTCGGTATATTAGTTGCATTATATTAGAGTTATGTATTCTCATATAATATTATCTAATTATGAAATTTTATAATTAATTATATATTAAAAATGAAGCATTGAAAATTGTGAGTTTAAAAGATACCTACTCACTATAGGTAAATAGATAGATAGCTCGCCTTTTGTACAAATATTTGGTGCAATAAAGAATAAATAAATAAATAGGATGTTTCGCAGAGTGAGAGTAATATAGAATGAGAGTCGTGGAGGCAGTTTACAAACATAAATTGCACAAGGACAAACATCCAGACCCGGAACAATTATTTGTAGGCCATACAAATACTTGTTCCGTGCGGGATTCGAACCCGCGTCCCCCAGTGCAGCAACTGATTGCTAAGGATTGCTATCGGCAGTCAATTAAATATGACGATGTAAATAATGCTCTATCGAAACTAGTACATTGGTTTAACGCCAACAATTTGCTCTTAAACGGCAATAAGACAAAATGTATTAAATTTACAATACCTAATGTAAAACATTCGAAAACCAATGTGCTCTTAAATGGGGAGGAGTTGAGTCTTGTGGATACCACTGTTTTTCTCGGTATTACTATTGACGCGAAACTTCAATGGGGCCCCCATATATCTAAATTAGCAAGCAGACTTAGTTCTGCAGCATATGCTGTAAGAAAGATTAGAAGTCTCACAGATGTTGAGACAGCTAGGTTAGTGTATTTTAGTTACTTTCATAGCGTAATGTCTTATGGAATTTTGCTATGGGGTAATGCGACTGATATTGAAGCTATATTTGTTTTGCAAAAGAGAGCCGTACGGGCGATTTATAATCTAAATTGTAAAGAGTCCCTTAGAGAAAAATTTAAAGAAATAAACATATTAACTTTGGCATCGCAATATATTTATGAAAATGTAATGTATGTACATAAAAACATAAATAGCTTTAATAAGAATAAGGATGTTCATACCTTAAACACTAGGAACAAACATAAGCTTGTAATGCCACTTACAAGACTCCACAGAATTAGTAATTCATTTATGGGGCAATGTATACGCTTTTACAACAGAATCCCAGAACATGTTCAAAGTTTGTCAATAAACAAGTTTAAAAGTTTTATTAAAGAAAAACTGTACAAAAAGGGTTATTATAATATCAAGGAATACATGAATGAAAATAACCCCTGGGAATAAGGTGATCGCCACCATGCTGGTTCTATGAAAATTCATTTAAAATTGTATAATCAAAATTATTGTTAAGTGAAATTATGTTTAAAAAAAAAGTCCCGCTGGGTTTCTTGCTGGTTCTTCCCAGGACAGAGGTATTTTCCGAACCAGTAGTAAATAAAATAATGACTTTCAATAAGTATTATGTAATAATCCATATTGAATAAAAATCATTCTATTCTATTCTATTCTATTCTAAGCCAGTGTGCCACGGAGCCGTCGCCGGTTTATAGCTAAAGTGACCATACGTCCCGTTTTGAACGGGACTGTCCTTTTTCTCAGTCACCTGTCCCATTGTCCCCAAACAAAGCTCCGGGACACAAAATTGTTCCGTAACTCGTTGGATGAAAGTATTCAAAGTCAACAATCTTCAACATAATTTTTTTTTAATCGAATATATTTTATGTCTCCCTGGTACAAATGCTCCAGTAGAAAGAATATTTTTTTTATTTTGAACAAATTGTGGACGTCTGAAAGAAACACTTACGGTTCCAGTTCTAAAGGCGATGTTGTTAACAAAGGTAACAATAAAAAAACTTAAGCAGAATTTTATTCTTATTTAAAATTATCACCAACTTTATTAAAGCAAATTTAATCCACTGACAAATGTAATTAATAATTAAAAAAAATATGTTGCATTTAATAATTACCGTCTATACCGAATATAATTTTATATTGAACACTAATTGTGTAAAGTTATAGTTTTTAGAGTGTAAATAAACCCATGTCCTGTTTTGAGTTAAAAAATAAATGGTCACTTTAGTTTTTTTTTAGTTAAATTTAGTTTAAAAAAAATTTAGTTTATAGTAAAAAGTAGGTATATTAATACCTACTTAGATACTTTTTACCGAATTAGGGTAGAAGCCCCTAATACCAGTCATACCCCTAATTGCAGTCTTTTCGCCTTTTTACTCCATAAATAAGATTTCTAGTAGTCTTAACTACAAATATTTTCATCTAAAAAATTCTTTGTACCTAGAGGAAACTATATTTATTCAAATATTACCTCGCAGTTTTAAACCTAACAGTGTTAAAATCAAAACAGGTACGCAACGAAAAACGATCATTTTCCTAATTATTTGACAAGTTATGATCTCGGTAAAATTATGCTTACTTTACATTATCTCATATATAGGCTTTTTGATTTGTATGAATATGACTATAGACATAGTAATGCAGTTATTTTTGTTTGAATTTACAACTTATTTATTTTCTTTTAGTGGAAATTAATGGGACTGTAATTAGATAATATAAGAAATGTATGGAGTGCATAATGTCAGCCGCCCGGCTGTTATTTGGTTTGACGTACCTAATAAGAAGTACCTAATTTCAGCCACGTAATATAAATCAGAGCTGCCATAAACTGGAATAAATACCATTAATTAGATCATAACTTATTTTATAGCTAAGGGAGTTATGATCAATTCGTCTGTTTTAAAATTGGTTTTAGATTTTAAAGTTTAGCAAAAGATGTACTAGCTTTTCTCTGTGACATTCGGCGTATAGAACATCTTATGTACTCAATTATTTTTTTTTTTGAAAAAGGAGAAAAAACAAGCAATAAATAAAAACAAAAACGGGCCAAAAACTCATAACTGACTTTTTGACAAGACCCGGGATTCGAACCCGAGACTGCATGATCAGCACTCGCACTACTACAACCACTAGACCAACGAGGCGGTACTATACCTAATAAGATATTGTGGTTGGGTGATAATATTGATTATTATTATAATTATGTTGCTATAATTAATTATGTTGCTCCCTTAAAGGATCCAATCCTCTGGGGCCCATGAGCAGAAGACGTCCCGAGCAAACGTAGGTCGGGCCTCAATGTGGCCACGTGGAAATTCCTAATTACATTAAAATATATGGGGGGCGTTATACTACGGCCAGTCGACCGGAAGGAATTTGGATGAAGCTTACTTACCTATCCAAGGCGACTGGTCCCTCCGGAGTCGGTCAGGTCGCATGTGGTTGTGTAGTGCAAGGGAAAGAATGGTGATGTGGTGTGTATCTGGGTGTGACTGATGGTGATTGAACCTAGACCTTAGCCGTCGGCAGCAGCCCGAGCGTCGACACCGCTCCAACTTGAGGGGGCCTTTCGAGGTTATCCACGGTCACTTTCTTCTTTCGTCACGTTGACAGTCAATTAACTCTATCGTACGATTTACTAACTTACAGAAGCCACTAACTATCGCTGGTTATCAGGTTAACACACAAAACGCACACGGAGTTTACAGTTTATTAAAGGTCACTACCGTTTCGCGTCGCAAGAGTTAGTTCTAGAATATTATAGGCCGCACTAGCTAATATTGCCTAATGCACTTATGCAGATTCGGAGTCGAACACAATGAGTCCCTGGGAAGCTCTCCAGCAGGAATGCGCGTCACAATGATAGACCGTATATTTACTGGCCGCGCCGAATTATTCCGAGTTCCCTAACAGAATACAGCGTGCCAATCGTTAGCACCGCTTATGGACGACTGCCCTTGGGCGTTTTTACGCACGACCGAATGTCAAACCGGTATGACACTGAGCCGCACGCCCTCTCGCGTTCGTTCCTTGAAAGTGTTTGGCGCGAACATATTGAATTAGCCTTTTATAGTGTAAATTATAATATTTGTCGAAATTTTAATTATGGATTCGAACCTTACATGCTAATGGTGCTTCATTTTTTTATTTGCATTTACTTCAAAGAAAATACACGCACAAAGCTTCATCGCGCAGTAAAAAACACAACAAATATATGTATAACTAATACGAAAAATTATACCCAAAACAAACAAATAATACTACCTATAAATAACCTAATAAGTAATATTATTATCGACTAATATGACGTGAGTGTATGTGCTGGTCGACGCTCTAACGACACGGGCTTCGCGTCGAAGAGCTCAGGGCTCACTGACTTCAGCAAGCCCGTGAGCAGTGAATATGCCCAGATTTTAAAATAAATTCTTAATAAAATCAAATTTTGGTCTTTTGAAAAAAAAATTACTATAGAAATGTTCATTAATAAATTGCCTATCCATTGGTGTAAATCGCAAAATAAAATAATACTTACTTTACGAGGAGATGCATGTTATCAATAATAATTTCACATTTATGTGGTTTCGTTGTAAGGAGATTATATTAATATTTATTCCTTTAAAAAAAAATTGGAT